TTTGATACATGTCACTACCTGAGTCAGTGGTAGCTGTTTCATATCATTCAGATGTCAGATTATAATGACTGGTTTATTGATGACAATGTAAAACAGTTTTGCAGAACCCAGGGGTTCTGAATTGCAGTGTTACTCACAATTACAAAGATTAAGACTAAAGACGTAGCCCATCCCATTAAAAGCTTTAAAATCAAACAACATCTATCACAACATATACACATATGATAAAATCTAATAAGTTTATAAGTGTTAATAAGTTTGCATTGCAGAATAAAATACTTATTAAGATTCGTAGGTAAAACAGTGGTCATAAAGACGGTTACTAAATAAAACGTGTTATTAAAGCATGGCAGTTACCCCTCAATGACTGGAAGTATCGATGAAACTGTGATGAATGTTGTTAAAATGAATAGCGTGCTTCAGATACAAGACATAGCCATGAGTCTAGATTACCCGGCAGTACTGGATCACAGAAAATGTCTCATCTAGCACCTTTACACAGAAGAAGTGGTTCCATCTTGAGTTATAACTCACCTTGCTTGTAGGTTAGGTCTGAGGTATGGCATCCTTCCGTTGGCTTTCTTTGGTGGACCTAGAGGAGAGATTGACATCACACTTCCATTAAGGCGGCAGCATGAATCACTCGCTACATTAAGACTCCTCTCTGCCACACTGCAGTGACTTAGGTCAACACCAGGGAGTAACTAAATGTAGAGGCTCTTTAGGGATTTGCACTCTGGACAATCTCAGTGCTACGTAGAGCACCTTTTCTTTGCTTTAAGTGCAGCTGGCAATTCCTTTTTTGTAGGAAAATGTCTCCCTTCCAACATCATTGCAATCTCATCCACTGATGCCCTTTTCTTTTTTCTATTCCTCAAATTGTGGTGTCTACAGTGTTGCAAGAGGTTGTTCAGAGCAACATTTTGTGCTTATAGAAAATGCTAGTAGAGGGTACTCTCCCCCACTCAGGACTGCCATTACAAGTGCACATGAGGAGAAATCGATTCTTGGGAAGTCATGATAAGGCTGCAAATGTGCTGCTATCTAGCTAAGAATGGAAGAGTTTGCCCTGTCTGTTTTTATATGTAAATGCAAAAGACTTTATGCTATAAAAAATTGTTAAGTTATAGATGTACCTTCTGCTTTCTCTTCGAACTGTTCGAGCAGATTGGTGACGTCCGTGGCCTCGATACCTGCACATACAGAACACAGCAGACATGTACTACACACTGCACCATACACAAACCACAGTTACTATTACATGCACACAACCACGCCGTATGTTCATCATTAGGTATTAGTATTGGCTGAAAAACTTTTGAGATGTATACTTCTTGCATTTGTCATATGTCTTTGCAAACGTGGTCTGAAAGCCGGTACCCATTTAGAATGTCAAATCGATCATCCCAAAGTGTTAGGGTTCAAGTATGCAGCAAAGATTGCATTTGGCATTCATGTGTGCAGCAAGCCAGTCTGTCATGCTGCCTTTTGAATTTTACACATCTTCAGTCAATGTTAACGTTTAAGGGAGAGCATTGAAAATGTAGAAAGCCTATTTATTTCTACACAGACAAGTGACACAAACACACAGAAAGAGGGGGGGTAGGAATACAGAAAAGAAAAATGAAGATGATGTAATGAACATGTACATATACATCAAAGTATTCTATGAGATGAATACAGCCTGTGCTACTGAAGTTGGTTCTACATGTCTTTAAAATTAATCACCAATGAAAAATCTTTGCACAGTTCTTACTTATACAGTAACATCTGTATGCTAGCCTTGTGGTCATTTCTCATTTGAAACTTTCAGAGTTTTTTTAATCGTTGTGATATTGGATAGTTTGAAGGCAATAAATAATGTAATGCCTATTCCCAACTCAATCCATACAGTACTTGTATGAAAACTAGTGAAACATGCATGATGGGCAAATAAGAGCAATGACCTCCAGTTTCTTGTAAATGATAGATATGCAGATAAGCCATACTAACAACAGTTTTGGCCTTTCATGTCTAGAATCATAAATTGATAAGTTACAAATGTATAACTATACCTTTAAAGAATGCAATAAGTAAGCGAATCTGTTCAATTCCAAATGAGATTGAATATGTTGGGTATTACATTACAAAAACAGGTAGTGCCAAGAAATTCTAACATAGTATTTCATCACGATTTCACACAGTACAAATTCAGGGAGGTGATGAGTTTATTAACCACAAGCAAGGTTCGAAAAATTCAAATTTTATGTCTTTGCCTAGCGCCTGCTAACTTTTGAATTATGATAGTGATGAAAGCTCAGGAAGGACTATGAAATAAGACAACTGGATATACAGAAAGAGTCCCCCCAGGTTCAAGTATAGACAGTGCCATGGTGATATATGCTGATAGCCAGGTGCTGAGTTCCTGCTGACTGATATACAGGATTAAGAACTGCAGCTAGCTGATTAAAAAGCTTTGATGTAAATGTATGAGTCTGTCTCCCCAGGCTGCTCAAAGCACATTTCTCTGGGCCATTTGGCTGGCAACCCTGATGCATGAAGGCTTAATTTGGGCAACCATTTCCTTATCAAAGCTTGCAGCTCCAGGAAAATAGACCCAGGAGTCTGTTCCCATCATGACAGGGCTACAAATCAGGCAGGCATACTCGCACAGAGGCCAGGGTCTGAATAGTGAAGACTTGCTTAACCTAAAGGCTAGAATATTTGTCATCTGGGACTCATTAAAAGTCTGGATAGGGGAGATAAAACTAGTAGAAAACTGTACTATCACAACTACGTAGTACTTCCGATCATTAGGTGCCTCGTTCATACATTCGTGATATTCTGAAATTAGACATTAATACATAATACCACAGGCAGGGAAGATGATCTTAAAAGATTACATGTACATGTATGTCACTATGAAACAGGACTTGGCTCCTAGATTTGCTCTGGGTACTACTTAAATCTATAACATGTCATTGATCAAATTGTACCTGCTACATTGGAGCTTACAGTGTTGAGGCTATTATTAGGAAGTGCCTGAGGATGGATCTGAAACTGGTAATAATACCTAAATCTAGTCAGAACCAGTATTACCTTATACATGTAGTTACAAATTCCCTTGCTGGCACACCACCTATCCATAAAAAAGTTTCATGTACTGTGATGCTTAGCCAACCTGACTGAATTCACTTTTGCTGGCTTATGTATATAATCTCCCAGATTATATAACAGCATGCATATGTACATGTACATATTCTCTCCTCAGAACATATCAAATACAGACCATAAACTCAAATCCTAACATAATCAAACATTTCCGGGCCTGATGATCCATTGACTTGGTCTGACCTTGCCAATAATCTAATTTGTTCCAGGCCATTTGATGACCTGAAACTCTGGTCATGGTCAAAATTACATCTGGAGGGTAGCTACACGTAGTGCTGATGACCATTGATCGATCATACCACGCATAATCATAAATTTCCATAGTCGCTATCTCTAATTCTAAGGATACATCACCAACATTGTATTGCAACTTCTATATGTAAGTTCTAAATCAATAAGAATGTGTACAGATTTAAACTAGGCTATAGTATGATACTATCAGCCATAAAAAGATTGGCTCGAGTTAACAAAATCCCATGATGAGATAGTCTGAAAAGTTCACAGACATCCTTTCATTACTCAAGACCATGGTCCAATCAACCTGGATAACAAAAGTTCAACTGCGACTGCAAACCTAATCAGAGGACCACTGGATAAGATTGCATTGTTGCAGAGTAGAGAATGTAATCTGGCACAGTCCTGGTACTGGTCATGATGCTGATATTGGACAACTGATACAATATTGAATGTGAAGGGTGGGGCTGGGGGCCACGCTCCGTGTCACCCAACTGGTGAGACCCCTGACCAACAATCAGCTAGCTTATCAGCTTAACATTCTCTCTGCCAACATATACATGTACATACCATGGAGATGCAGTGAAGTATAGTTTTCACAGAGGTTAACATACTTTTGTCTCAGATATCCCAGTATTGTGTAATTGTGTGTATTGTTGGCCATTTTATTTCCTTGGACACTAGCATGCTTTATAACGTAATGCAGGCTCAAATTTGATTGTATTCAAGGAAATGTTTTTAGCAATGACTGATACATGCTGGCTTACCTACTAAGTGGCTAGACAATCTAGAAAGTTCTTATTTCAGTTATTCTTCAGATTACATTGTACATTTGTACACATCAATATTGTATGATAGTGGATCACTGCGGATGTAATATGATAGCAATGTGAATAATTTTTGAACAGACATATCTGGTCATGACGATGACATTAATAGAATTCCCTGTCTCCCTCCCCACTGATACTGGCTGTTGGTGTCAGTTACAGATGTGACATGCTCAACTCCTGGAGACACTCTAGGACACATCTTCATGTCCAAGGCTACTCATTGACATTGCCATCATTTATCAAAACATCTACTTGTCACCAAGACCATTCTCCATTCATACATATTCTAGGGAGCTTGCTAATAGTTTAAAGTTGATTGTGATCATCTTTGACATAATGTTCTTGATAATTCATCCTTTTGATACAAAAAAATCAATTCCCACTTCCATGGAAGTGTTGAAGACGAATGTTAGAATAACCAAGACTGCAGTGACCCCTTTCAGGCTACCAGATTGTGCATGTGTCACTCAATGACAAATGTTGGTGGGATATCCCTGTCTCTGTGAACATTATCAGTCAAGACAGTCAGTCAGACATTCATTTTGAAATGGGTGGCAATCTGCCAGGTTTTTCACCACCCAAGGGACAAAACGTATATTTGCAACAACAGTATATGTGCAGTTGTATGGATGAAGGATAAACATACAAAAGCACTCAGAGAAATCCCTCTCCACTGTAATACTGCACTGTGAGTATATTATAATTTGTTCAGTTGCAATATGAATTTATGGCCATTAATTTGTAATAAACTTGACTAAACATTACTAGTACTGAAGGAATGGAGTTACTAACTTATCTTTTCATCTTACTACACTGAACCTGTATCTGATTTTCCTGGGTGTGCCTGGTGCTATAGGAAGGAAGCTATCTTGGTATGTTGCATGTGGGAATGATCTATCACGAGAAGTAAGCATGTGAACCAGGAAACTGATCCTGTGTCTGACGTGTGTGATCCCTGCTTCACCACGTCGCTGCTTCCTACTGGTCCTCAGCCTTGGCTGCTGTGACGTAAGGGGAGCTAAAAATGGCTCTGTGGCCTGGAGGGAATGTCCTCGTCTTCATATCACTCTCCTGAGACATGGATCATGTGAACGTTCCATTATGTAAGTTATTATGTCAGGCTGGAAATACTCTGTCCTGCATACCAGCACAGGTGTATCTAACATTCAAAATGTCTTATGTAAAAACAGGAGGCTACTGTATGTGGTTATATGAACAATTATCATGCTTCTGGCTTCGTGCAGAAATAAATCCACGGCCGCTATTTTACCTGTCAAGAACAAAATGCATGTGGGGGTGGTATTAGCTTCATGTACAAGCTAGGTTAGAGTATTTATCTTGACTGTTGGTCATACATCTGTTGGAGACTGTTGTATACAGGCATGGCATATCTATACAGGAAAATGCAGGGCCCCACTGTAAAGCAGATACAAAACTGTACTTGACAGGCATTGGATTTGTAATTAAACATCATATTTGTTAATAATAAAAAAATGGATGCATCCAATGAAAAAATGACTTCAGTTCCTATTCATACAACACTTGGTGCAGAACTTGAAGTTCAAGATGGTATTTGAGGCTTTACTTCCACCCTTAATCCTTCTTTCACATGGATAACATTGCCCATGCACTGACCTGTCCAACCAGCATTGTGGGGATCTTCAAAAGAACTCTGGTCAGATTTGGCGACCACAGCACAGTAATTCAAGGTTGCCATAACTAATGCATCACCTTTGCACAAATTGCTGCATAAACCATGTTCAGACTAAGCCTGGCCACGAGTGATACACTGATAGTGTGAAATAATGTAGAAAATAGGAGTAATACCTGCAGTTGTACTTTCAGTGCCACAATCATTACAACCATGACATTCCCATCATGGAAGGGCGCTCTCATTAAAATGTAAAAACCTAACAGCGACTATACTTAATATCCAGAATTACTTTGGCCTTGACTTTAAACAATGATCTGTAAGGTTTGCTTAGGTCTGCACTATAAATATATATCTAAGACAGGCCAATGATGTTACACTGCAGGGTCTACCTTTTGGCATTCACTAAGTCTCCCACCACACAAAATATAGGTATTGATCTCCACTATTCCATTAGGCACTAATCTTCCTCCTAACACCAGGATTGCCACAGCTGGCTCCCAGGACTTTAGAGGGGTGGGATATGGATGGTTTGAACGATACGCTGTCCAAAAAAACTCATCTCATGGCCCAGTAATGCCAGGCGTACATTTCTCACCGCATCCTAACAACTTGGGAGAGAGGGTATTGGTAAAAATTTCTTGGCACTGCCTGGGATTTGCACATTCATGAGTGGCAAACGTCATGTGACGATGGAATGACACAGAGGTTTGTGACTCACCTATTTCATGGCCGGATGCTCGGCGGCGGCGAGGCAGGGGGGCCTCCAGCACGGCCTCACCACTCAACAAGAGCTTCTCCAGCTCTGGGTGTTTGTGGCCATTCTCATGCTCATGTACACCGGTACTGACACCGTCGGAATGCTTACATGGGGAGCTGGGGGTAGAGTCCGAGGCCGAGTCGTTGGTCCGGGGACTCAGGCTGTTGGCGGGGGTGTTGAACGGGAAGGCAGTTTCCGTCTTCGAACTGGACGCCAACTTGGCCAGCTAGGAAACGACAAAGTCCAAAGTCATTATCATAGCTGCAACAGCACGAGGTTAAACATGCATTGTACATATAAGCATGCAGTTGGTAAAGAAGATGGCTGACTTTAGCTATGTTGATGAGCAGCTATGATGATGATGATGATGTTATAGGTGATAAAGCAGTCACCCTGGTTTTTAAGGATGCAGGTATTTGCAATAAATGTAGATGCTGAGGAAGGCTTTTCATGTATCCTTGCTTTATTTCATGCTTCCCTCTCTTCAAAGCTGGAAACAAAGCCATTAGGGACAGACCACAAATAACATGAGCCAGATGTGCCAATACATAAAAAAAATAAAAGGGTGTGCTTCTATCAACTTGAGCCCCGATCCCTTCCATTAGGTTTTGTGGTTTGTCCCTTACCTGGTTTTTCCTGTGAAGCAATACATCTTCCAGCTTGATAGGCTCCCTGCTGTATCCCATGGGTGTGTTAGGAGGCGTCAGCAGTAGTTTTTTAAGCTGAGCAAGAAGCAACAAAAATTTTGTTAGCCACAATCCAGCAAGTTAGGGTGGTTCTATGATGGATAAAAAAATATAGGCACTGTTACATTGAAGGAAAACCCTGCACAAAAACCTGCACTGACGTTGAATATGTTCCTTTGCTTTGCATAACCGGTAAACCACCTTTGGGTGTAACAACACTGTAACAAGACCATACTGTAAGGTTTGATCCACTCACCAGGGTGGACCCCTACTCTTTTTGACAAGTGAAGTCAAAATTTATTGCACAACGATTGTCACGGGTACAATGTATGACACGCATGGTGGGTTCTTAAACATTCTCGAGGGTTAGTTCTCCTCAAACATGATCTCTGTATCTGAATCTGGAGGACCAGTATAACCACCCATCATTGTAACACACCACCTCCGGCTGATGTTCCCATATGAACCCCCGGCACCCCATTGCTTACCAGTGAAGTCTCCCTGTCGTCCCTCCTGGGTCCTGTGGTGCTGTCAGGGGAGGACAGCTCCCCATCACTCTGCCCCAGCTGGTCCAGCCCAACGATCCCCAGGGGGGAGTCCATGCTGTCAAACGACTCATTAAGGATAGCCAGTAGTCCTGCTTCATTTTCAGCATCAAGGGTTTCCTGTGAACAACAAGGCACCTACTGTACATGATTTAGAAAAATATAAGCAATGATATAAAAATGGACCTTTGCAAAACAGGACATATACACTGGTTACACTGAGCACAACATGACAACGTACTTTGAATATACACCTTGAAATGTGGCGCATGGACACACACACACACACACATACATAAACACATGCAGATCTATGTGGTACCAGTAACCTATGTCAGGTAATGCAATTTGAAAAGCACTCTAGACTGGAGGAAATGAAAGAATGACCAGGTGACCATGATTGTTGTCATCTGACTGGTGTTCAGCACCAAGGACAGGCACAGTAACTCTTATCCATCACGGCTTGTGGTACTTTGATCCACAGGGGACATCAAGTTTGTTTCAATGATACACCAACTGTTCTGACATATACATGTAGCAAATAGTAGGCTACATGGATATCTTGATCACTTACAATTACTTCCTTCAAACTAATCAAAGGAGCATGAATTCTTAGACTTAATGTTCATTTCAGATGGTTGGTTTATGTTAACATACACATTCAAGCTTCCTGCCTGCCTTTAGGTCTTAGTTGTAATACCGTCTCCACATCCCCTTTGATTACCTTTCATACTATATCCAAATCCAGTCTTGTCCCCAGGGAGAAATGATAGATTACATTATACTCTGTATAGAATATGCCCTTCATTATCGTTAGGTCATCAAACCTGATTAGTATGCAGAAAGTCTGACAGCAAATTCAGTAATGCTAATTGTGCTAGAAGGTCAACAGAACGATTTAAACTACAGTACTTAACATGCAAATATTGAATGAGACAAGAATGTCCTAATTGCAATCTTGCACTTGTGACCTTTTGTGGCTCAGGGGAATGGGTTGAGAACACTAATCAGGGCTGGAAATACAGAGTGCATATGCATCCAGAATTGGAACTGTGCACCTATTTGTGTAAAATTAAGTAATGATGATAATGAATTAAGAATTTAAGATAATTCGAATTATGTACATAAATTCTTTTACAGGGTTTTTGTCTCTTTTCTCTAGTAATATGAAAGTTACATATTGGGTTTCACTATCAAATCTAAATGCATTTTGGGAAAGGTAACATAAAAACTGGCAAAAAAAAGACTTGTCTATAACACAAATGAAATCCAAGTACAACTTGCAAAATATTCCAGCTCCTTTACTTGCTAGTCTGGTGAAAGACAAAGGGCAAGTTCAATCTGTGGTAGGCTTAGACTGCATCTCCAGTCAAGCATGACTCCCAACATGGGCTGACTGATCATCAGTTCTCAGATTTATCACTAATGGATGCAATCCAATCAGATTGTGATGTCCTTGGGGAGATCTCACAGGTTGGGTGGTAGGACACCCCACTACCAGATAATGCCCTCAACCACTGGAAATATTTCAGGCCCAATATCATCAATGCTTTCTGCATGATTTTTTTTATATTCTTCAATACATGTACTATGTAAGTCACAATTTCCAACAATTGTGTAAGAACCAGTCAAATATTGCACATATACAACTTATACAGATTCAATGTCGCACTACTGTGTACCAAATGGTCTATCGATCTCTGATCAAGTTTTTTTTTTGAAATTGAACTCTTCAACTTATGTCAATACAAATGCATGACAACTATGCAATTTGCTTCCTAAGTTTACATAGTTGTAACTTGTAACTATAAGAAACTTGACCCGTTATTGGAGCGCTCTAATAAAAATGTAATGTTGATTACACCCATACAAAGGTCCCTTCAGGACAATGAGTTAACTGATGATCAGAAGATAATCTTTCGTTCATCAACCTCCCTCCTTACATTATGGTAGAAACAACCACAATCACATGACTTTATCCCCCACTGTTGTAACCTTCACTTACAATAAAAAAGGAAGATCCAATCAGTGAGATGGCGACAGTCAGACTAAGAGGCATCTGTGAGGTGATGTGATCGTTTATTATGAAATGCATTAAGAGACCTCAAACTCAACCATGATCATACTGGGCTTTAAAAGAATGTGGCTTGAAATTCGGTGAGCTATGAAGAAAAAAAATCCATAAATGTCAAAGATACGCAACATCTATTCTACTGCCCACACAGGCCTTCATCATCTCTAGGGCCAAATTTAAATGATTTATACCACACAGTATCCATTGATTGAGAGACTGCTACAGGTACAATCAGTTTTTGTTCTGATGAACTTGCATTGGATTTTGTGATTCACTGCCAGTGTTGCATGCAAAAACGTTAACCTTGAATGCGCATTGATTACAGAATAACATTTGGCCACACAAATTTGTTCACCTATGTTTAAGGTTAGCTATCAATCACATACATAAGTCAAAATGTTAAATGAAAACAATATTTACAAACTTTTGTTAAATAACTGTTGTTTCAGAACTAGCTGAGATTCAGTTGGGAAGATGTATAATTTTTTTTGCCACCTGGTTACATATAATTGTTGAACAAGACAAATCTGTGGCCATACCATTTAAATTCGTGGAAAAGATAACTGTCAAAAATAATAAAAGCCATGTATGCATAATGATGCATAGTATGATATTAAAAAAATTTATAGCATACATTAACGTTGCAAATTTGATTGCCTTAGAGCCATTCTGTAGCCCCTAAAGAAATGGGTCAGCTACATTTACATGTGCTTGGAGAACATTAATCATAAATACAAGTCAATAAACTTTAAGCATGTGAAAGCCGGGCTGATATAACTTCAACATTTAGTGGCCCTGTGCCTGTTATTGCTAAGCAATGCCTTATGGTCTCAAAAACCACTGTGCTTTAGATAGAAAAGTACCATAAATCTTATCAAACAGTTTTGTAAAGTAACAGAAATTTTCATTCGACTTATTTGGGCCAAGCCAGTCACCCTGAACTGGGGTTAAAGACCCAAGGTCAAAGTCATTCACACATTAATAGTACATCTCCATGAGTGACATGCACTTGTATTATGTGGTCAAATACCTCATTACCAGTTTTCCTTTGAACTTTTATAACAGGACATAGCTGCCCAGAGCCAGGACCCAAATTTGGTGCATATACTTAAACAGGCAATTCATGAACCTCATATATGGTACTAAGATGTAAATATACACCAAAACCTGTTAAGCCTGTCAAACCTATAAATCATGCTTTTTATTGTAGAATATAGCTTGGTTGTGTATCCAGGTATCTGGCTAAAATAAAAAATGTACTTTGATTGCTAGAGACACCAAATCAATATCAATACATTATTGTCAATGAGGAATTTGTACACAATTTAACCTTTGTACCCTAAACTTTACCCCTTGTTCACTGCACTATGTCCTTACAACTTTGCCAGTGAGAGTATCATGTACTGCAGCTACATGTACATGTACAAAGATAGTAACTGTCACGGTGGCTGAATCTGTACAGTTGGCCTGGTACATGTACATGTTATATCTCGGACGCCTCCAGCAGCACCATTCTATTGTCTACCAGCTGAATTGCTACATAGCAACACAGCTGGGCAGCCCCAGCTGATGCAGGGATACTTTACAATAGCCTTCTAACATTACACAGCCTAACAAAAGCAGGTCAACCAGGATCCTTTTTATAGTACTTCTGAAGCACTGGCTTTTCACCAGTATCCAGGTACAACAATGAAGGAACCTCAAGCCTAAACACTAGGAACAATGTGTGGAAACCTGAGAACAACTTTGTAATGCTATTGCGATGTGACTGTCATTTCACAACATTGCACCCAGAACTGCATACATGTAAAAGCTCCTCCTGTATGTGTAACTTTAGATTATAATGTCCAGTGACAATGAAAACCTTCAGTAGTGCTTTCTCTCTCACCTTGCATTCCTGTATTGTGATTTTGGAAAATATGCTGCTTTGCAGCCATTTGACTTATATAACGTTGCAAGTCATAGCAATATACTGAAGAAATAAACCTATGCATATATTATAATAACTAGATCATGTTAATCCCCTTAAAAAAAAACAATTGTATTAAGTGCCTTAGGTTGTGCCACAGGAAACATTACCGTATCAGTATCAATTGACCTGATTATATGTTTCTTTCCAACAGACACAAATCAAACTTACATACATCTCAGTCAATTTCACATCATTGTTGTATTGCAGCAATTTGCTGCTGATGTTGCAATCAGACTTTAAAAAAATCTAAGTTGGGCAAAATCAATATAATTTGCAAGGATGACTGCACAATATGAAAGTTTGAAACTCAGGATTGAATAATACCATATTTAACTGATGTAGACAAACTTTGACCATGCAAGCAGCAACACATGCAAATTCTTCTTGCAGAACTGCACCTTCCATTATTTCCGTGGTCCGTCTTTCAATACCAATTCCATTTCCTACGATATATCACCTGCATTTACTTTCAAGGCTACCCATCAATATTGCAATGGTGCTAACAGCTACCTCAATGGGACGCCTCTTTGCCTGCAAGACATGCCATAACTCAACATATACCAACTCCCTGCATTAGGACTATCATGCGTGTAGTGTTAATATCTGCATGCCCAGTTCACAGTATTCCACAATTAATAATAAATGACTCGACAAAGGATAGGACAGAAGGTGCAGCTTAATCATAGCGGAAAGCTAAGGTGCTTATGCAATCAATTTCTACGGCAATATTCAAAGACAGGACAGACAAATAGAAATTCTACTGGTAATCCATCAGGGAAAATTGATTATGTCATAAACAATTTATTTTGACACTAGGTAAACTAGAAATAACGAAAATATTTTACTGCAGCTGTAATATCATTTGATTAAATTTTTTATCATCCATTGCCTAACTACATTCAATTAGTGCTGTAATTATGGACCAGGATTAATAATTATAGTGCCAGGCTTCTCAACAGATAAAAATACCTGTACATAATTGCCAGTTATGTCATACCCATTGGTGGCTTCATAACTCAAACTATATATATATCTGTTAAGTATACTTGAAACAAGTAATATCATCTATTACAAAAGGTTGTTGAATGGCAAGTGGAAAGATATATGTTTTATCAGCCAAACACATAAAATTATATGCTACTTTATCTACTACTTTAGCTTTTTATTGAATGGATTTATTCACATCTTTATTGCAATTTGGACTCTAGGAGTAAAGATTGCAAGGTTTCTTCTGCACACTTCTGTAATGTTCTGTAAGTCAGAACTATGATTGTTCAGGTATAGGTGCACTTTATGCTCAGGTCCAAACCCGTCTAGACCTAAACAACTTGGTACAGATACTACATGTAGGTACCTAGCCATAAATATCTGCAAGTGTACATCTCCCTATGGTGACTCAAAAGCCAGCCAGTGTTTCACATAATGTTGTAACCATTATACATTTTACAGCCCATCATCATGACCATGCTGTGGTTGCGACATACCTCACATTGTGTAAGTGTCAATGCCCTGGCAAGGAGCCAGTTTACAAGCTAACAACACATCAAAAATGCAACCAGAGAATCCTGTTGACATGACATGGCTATTTCACTTTGCTATGGTGTCCTTATCATCATGTCAATCAAAAAGAGTAATTTCTAGATGTCTGGTAAACTTGATCTTCATTGAATCATTGTCTTCCTTGTGCCCATAGATTATATGCACTAGAAGTACATTTCACCTCCACCTCTCAGACAACCAGGCACACAGGTAAGACAACACCCTGAATAGTCCCCCCCAGACCCATTACAGTCTGATTAAGATAACACCTTTTCACTCAGTTCAAATGACAATGATAGGACACAAAGGTCTTGTTGATCCATGTTTCACACATTATCAGTAAATGGACAATACACACACACACACACATGCATAGATACATTTGCACAGTATCGAGCTACTCTAGTTTTACTCCTGTGTACTTTGGACAGTCTTTCACACACAGTCACACATAATGACCACCACTGGCATACCTTTCCATGGGTGACAAGACAGCAAACATTACACAACCTACTAACCTGTATTGCTTGGTCTTCCAGCATGTCAGTGGCCTCCAGGTGTGTGGAGACAATGCCAGACTGTTCATTGTACCATTTCAAGGCACTGAGAAAGCCCTCGCAGTCAATATCTGTGTCAATTCCACCCAGGTCCATTAGGGAGTCCAGCCCATCAGACAGCTCAGGAAGGCTTGCATTCTCTGCCACATTGTCCTGAAGCTAAAACAGCATGCACAATGTTTTAAATTAATGTGGTTTAGTCGGTTCAACAGGGATAAAAGACCCACAGATATAGCCCAAGGGTACCAGACAATGCTGAGTGCGTGTTTTCCAGGACTCAAAAAACCTTCTGGTGCAGGCAACATTCAAAATTTCCGGTACCAGACAAGTTTTACCTGCACTACCTGGTAGTTTCTTTGCCTACCAGTTCATCAACTGTTTCTAGTAGCACCGTTTTGAATTGTAATGTTGTCTTCCATGATGCTACATGTAATTTAAAACTTATGCTAGGCAGTTTTTGACCATTGCTGGTCATATGTCCCCCCAAGTGTCCACAGCTGGGTTATGTCATGGACCAGTGCAGGTTAGGTTCAAGTAGACATCAGAAATACCTGCACAGTGCCAGTATTGCCTGCACTAACCTGCATAAGCAGGAGGTATTATAAACTTCATTGACATATGCAAATGTGAGGGTAATGAGAGGTAGCCATAATTAGAGACAAGGCCATCTTCCCAATTATCCAATGCATCAGCCTGGACATGGAACTTGTCCAACAATATCTGGAGTCAGCCATCTAGACTTTAGTTCAACCATGATCACATTTGCATACAAAAATAAGACATTTATCACAAAAATAAATCTCCATAAAATATCATCTCTTTCTTATCAATAATTAGTTACAATGTCTCAGTTTACTTTATCTTATCCGCTTGGGCATGAGCTGCACTTTGTATATTTTCTGCAGAATGGTTTGTAGAATATAACTCTGGTATTGGGCATTAACCAACAAAAATGTTTGATTGTTGATGTGTTCTGCTGTCATGACTTTCCATTTCATTTCTTCTGCATGATTGATTTTTAAAGGACAAAACATGAGATCAGCATAGTGAAATAGTTTTTCACAATGGTGCTGGCAGGTACAAAGGTCAGTGTAGTCAAGTGGCTCACCCGATTTGCTGAGTAAACTGATTGAGTAATAAGAATAAACAACAAAAAAGGGGGCGTGACAACACCAGCCAGATGTCACTGCCACGAGTACAGAGAATGCAGGAAATGCCATCGCTAGGTACTTGGAAAAGTTTTGAGCATGGGATTTAGGACATCCGTTGCTTTACAAAACACACAATGCAGAAGTAAGTCAAGCTAAGAGCTTTCGTTTATCACATAACATTACTGCATTGGTAGTTTAGTACAATAGTACAATGTGTATGACAGTAGGACTGAGGTGCAAGGAGCTTTCATCCTTGGTAGGTGTTACCTGTGCGTACACTACAATACAATAGCAGAATATCTTCAACATGGTTTTTGTAATTTTCCATCATAAGTTATTAGTATTAACTTAGCCAACTCAATATGTACATCATGAGTTGACTCAGTCTTGTGAGACGACAGCAGCGTTATGTTCTGCAAGATGTCATGGCCGTGGGCAGTGTATATATGACTACGTATTATCAAACCCAATATCAAAAATTCATTAGAACACCACTACACAACTTGGCAATCACCAACTTGAAAGTAATGAAAAGGGGCGGGGTGAAGGGTGCATGTGGCAATATTCTGACATTACCAAAAATGTCACTGGACAGATACAAATCACTAGTAAAAATGGCTAGACCATATTAGTTGACAGAATATTCTTTGCAGCATTACCAACATTACATACAAGGAAAATATCAGTTAATGTCACAGAAGAGCGAGTACCCAAATCTGCTATAATCCAATTGCATAGGTTAGGCACCAACAAAATAACTGGCATAAAATATAAATTGTCAGGACACCTTGGCACCTCCTCTTTGTACCAAATTTGACAGAATCAATACCATGCTTCCAACTTCAACTAAAATGGAATTGAAGATTAATATAATGTGTACATGTGTATACTTCAGGCAATTCTACAATCATAATTCTAGGAGATACAAGCATACAAAAATAAATATACAAATCATGGAATTTCTAAGCTTTGTTTGATGCTAAATGTAGTTTAATCACTCCTGACATTACAGAAAGTAATCCTAGTAGTATGTCATTGTAACAATTGGATGACAGAAATTGGGACAGCATTTGTTTTGTAATAGGAAAGGCTACGTGATGACCTATGCTAGACCTAACCCTGACCCAGATTTTATTACTTCATGAGAAATGTCTATTTTGGGATACAGTTCAGTCACCTTGACTTGACTGTAATCCCTACCACTAGGGTATTACAGTTCATGATGCGTTTGATTATGAAATAGATACATCTTGTTGTGTTCCTTGCAAGGAATGCATGAGAAGAATGCATGGCAGTCAGGGCACAGCACTAAATGTACTTCTCCTTCCCATTTATATAGAATGGCTCTACAAGAATTCTCTGTTAAAAGGGCAAAGAGTATGGGATGACCATGAATGGACATGTGACCCCAAACAAGCTCCTCCTTGTAAATACCTGGTAGTGCGTTGAGAGGACAACAGCCTGGCTGCCAGCTTTAGATATAAAGGTTTGAAAAAAAATTGCTATCATTACAAAAAATTGCACATTCTGTGTGATACAAATATTGTCAAAACAAAATACTTCCTTCTTGTTGCCTGAATGTTATTATTATCATCAGAGCAAGTCCGCAACATCATAACAACATTGCAAATGGGATTCACATTAAATGTTTGTAATGGCATTTAATGAACACTGTAATCATACTGTGATAAACACTTAACACTTCTGCTTAGTACTCATCTACATAATTCAATTAAGTCATCTAATTGCTAAATACTGTACAATACCCTATTATCTACTAAAGTTGAGCTGGATAAAATTTGGATGACAATGTAAATTACATAGCCTTTGGGGTGGGTAGCACATTTGTATACAGCTTGGATTAGGATCAAAGAATAAATAAACACCAAATAAACTTGTCTACAAAGGGTATAATGTGATCAGTTTGTGCCAAGAGCCAGAAAGTCACAGACAAATGAAGAAGAGTTCAAAGTGTTGATTGATGTGAACAGGTTCGGACACCGCATGAGGTTGGGAACTTGGGGCCGAACCCACCCCAGCCCAGCACAAAACATGCGTTCATGCAGTACAACAATCAAATATTATCCTGCAAGAAACCGGCGTTATACCACACAGATGCAGCACCAGTTGGTGAGATATGCAGTGAGTAATGTCAAGGAAGTCCCACGTGAGATGACAACTGTCTTGGGACGGTTAAAATCGAAGGAAATGATATGCCAAATGTGTTCCCACGTCATGAGAAGGGTGATGACGAAAACAAGCACGTGCGCCGGTATCAGCCCACCACGCGCCCAGGCACTGGCATGCCCGGACTTTTCGGCTACCCTGGCCCGGTTACTACAGAACACCAAGTCAGAATTCACTCATAAGTCGTTACGTAAAGCAGACAAACCAAAATAATACCTGAATTTGTTCGGAAACGTCGATGTCTTCCTCGGTTAAACACGGCAGTGCGAAACCCAAATCGTTGTCAGCCGGCCCCAGGTTCTCTGTGGCCATCCTGGTGACACAAAGTCCAAGTTTTCCGCAACGTTTAACCCGAAGGGTGTACGCTACGTAGCCACGAAACCCCTACGGTACACCGAGGTTTAAAGAAGGATCAAACACGGTGAGACAATTTTATCCAGGTCCACTATTTGTGGCTATTTTGGCGACCTGACGCTAGCCTCCAAAAGTAGTACGAACCCGAAAGGCAGCTACTGCCGACTGGTGACATGTACCACGTAGCCACGCCAAACCTCGCGCGATTCGGCGTGAGTTGGTCGACTTCATGTCGATGGGAGGAACGAAAGGATCTTTCCAACATTGGACAAGTGGAAAAATTACGTTCTCTTGCCCTCTTTCGAAACACTTTCACATTATCTTTCAAGTGGTTTACAACAAAATGAATATTTTTGGTTATAATGAGGAAATATAGCTAACGTTTTGAACTGCATTGCGCAATTCTACACCGTTTTAAAACGTCGATGGACGTTCTTTCCTCCCACTAATGGGACGCTATGCAACCATGCCAACCAGCGGGTACATCACATAAACAATACCAAAACCTATCCGCCCCGTATGATAACAGTGACTTTGGCATATTCTGAGCAAATATTTTCACTAGATGAATGACAAAAAATCGAAGGCAAAAAACAATCAAAATTTTACCCATCTGAGTGACTTATTGACCAAAGATCCTAATACAAATGCTTGGAACTACGTTTTGTTACCTGTTGGCGGACGACGAAATTGGACCCAAGTACTGCGTGAAAGGGAAAGCAAGTTGATACAAAGTTTGAAACAGGTGCATGCTTGATAGCCAGCGGGTCTAAACAGATACTTTCGACGTACTAAATCGAGTGAATTCTGGTGCAAAATCTGTTGGAAAGGAGCACAGCAAGAACTCACCCAAAGTTAGGACAAAAAGGACCTTATTACTTAGCGGCCAGCAGAAACAAGCTTGGCGGAAAATGGCAACTGTTGGCAAATCAAGTTCCTCCTTGGAGCCAAGGTACACCGGTTTACCCCGGAGGTACGAGGAGACGAAACCTGCTCTGACGCAAGGATTCACCCATCACAGCATTCTAGGTACGAAGTTGTGTTGTTTGTGTGGTCACAATGCTCTTCGTGTAGGAGCCAAAATGAACAGTCGCTTTCCCAAAGGGACTATCATAATCAGGGTATGGCGCAAAATATTTACTTCGCTCGGACGTCTCATATAGATCACGTAATTTACGTAATAATTACTCAAAGCGATAGAGTAAAACTTAGTATGATGTCTTAACACTTAAAGAGGATCGGTAAAGATACGACATTCCCTTGCTTTGAGGCGCAAGTGCCCATTACGGCAAGACAACTGTTTTCGATTTCTTCAATGGAATGCTATATGCTTACACAACTGGGGCTTATAAGCTACTTGACTATGCGTTGAAGTGAGGCCAAGGGGGCAAGTGAACTACCCGAGTACGGTCCATCGATACTGAATAAACTCTCAGTTTTCACTAAAAGTGGGACACTTTAACGAAATCCTTTGTCAGTTCTAGGAACTCATATTTGACAGCTTACTTAAATAGCTGCGCCCACTGTTTTTTGTTTACAACTACTGGTACACATATCTATACAAATCAATGGTAGGCAAATCACCCAAGTACCACCCAAGTTGCCAACTTCTTCCTGGCTGTAATGTCATGGCTATGTCTCATATTAAAAACTTAGTTACCGGTAGAACTTTGGATTTACAAATGATATTCATCCCTATTTCAGACATTGGCCACAAACTGCATTCGAAAGTCCAGCTGACAGCGGGGCAGCAGAGAGACCTGGCAGTGCAGGAGGCAGAGGCTCGGGTGTGGGAGGAGGCAGAGACAGTCAAACAGGAGGCCGTGGAGGCGGCGCTGCAACATGCGCAGACGGAGAAGGAGCGAGAGATTAAGAACATCAGGAAACAGTACAAGAAGGAACTTAAGGTGGCCATCCTTGTCAAATGCTTCAAAAGCATTTCTTTTCATGTGTGAAGTAATTGGGTTAAAAGTCCCCAAGAAAATACACTGTAGAACATGTTTGGGAACTGAAGAAATAGTATGACAGAGAATTCAAGGTGGCCATAAGCCATTCTTGTCAAATGCTAAAAGCATTTGTTTTCACATGGGAAGCAATTCTGTTACAATTACAAAATGTAAATCATAGTTACTCCATGGGTGCTATCTGGTGCATCAAATATACTTGTGCATGTAGTGTAAAACAAGTTCAAAAGTACAAGTATTTTCTTAAATTCAATTCAATTTTCATATAATTCAATTCATTGGAGATACCATTCCAGAGTTATAATGGCATATTGCTATATTTCCTGTATTTCAGGAGGAAGGACTGAGGGTAGAAGGGGAGATGAACAAAAGGATGCTTCAGCAGCTGAAGAAAGAGCGACAGGAGGCGGAGGAGAAGTTACACGACAGTCTGAGGAAGGCGCAGGAGGAGTTTGCAGTACAGAAGGTCTCAGCAGTAAAGGCTGCTCAGGATGAGGAACGGCAGGCAGCCGCAGCACAGGCAGACAGAGTCGCTCAGTAAGTCTCGGCAGATTGCTGAAGAATGTTGATTGATGAACAGCTTTGCCATTGGCATGAAGAGAAAATGGACATCCAATTATAAACACAGTCATAACGTTACATGTATTGGCAAAACATTTAACTTATACCAAAAGGCTGGAAAGTTTCAGGATGTTTGCAGTTTTCTATGCTTTTTTTATTCTGATTTGTGGTATTTCCTGATCACTTTCATGCTCTAAGGAGGCAAACTTTGATCAGTATGCTAACCTGAGAACATATAACAATGTCATATAGATGTAATAAAATATACTGTGGCATTTCTACAATAATCATCTAATGCAATGTTTCTATTTCAGAATGAAAGCAGATGAGGCTGTTGAGACAGCAAAAGCAGCAGATGAAGACAAGAAGAAGGCTCTGTCCAACCAACACGACCAGTTTCAGAAGGACCTGGCTGCGGCCATCGCAAGAACACGGGAAGAAGAGGAGAAGAAACATGCTCGGCACTTAGCCAGCTTACAGGCTGAGCACGACCACGAGCTGGCACAGATGCGGAAAGCGCTGAAGTCACGGGAGCTGGAGCTCAGGCAGATCACAAAACAGCTGGACGACATGACGTCACTGAAGACCAAGCTGGAGGGTGACCTGCTGGAGATGAGACAGGAGTTCACCAGGTTTGCAGAGAGATGTTCCGGCTTTCAGGAGGGACAAGCTGACTTCTTACTGGCGGGGATAAATTAAAGATACTCAGAGAACAAAAGCATCTACTGTAAAAATTGCAATTCCCGGGTATTTCTGTCCATTGTTTCATTTCCCTTCAAACCAACAATGTGGAAAAGGATGAAGGATTAAACAAAATGAAATGAAGGAATAAGAGAAATTCTTTTTTTAGGATTCTCGACAAGTGTGACTGAAAATGCAGCTATGTTTTAATCTCTAAGTTGACTCGTGGCATCTTTTTAAATCTTGGACTCCGTCCCACTGGTCAAATTCCTGTTTGCCAAAGAGATTATAATCATGTGCAAACTGCAGAGTGTGTGTTTATACAAACTGTTGGGCATACATCAACCTACAGGACAACTTTGATTTGCTGACCCATGACTTCATTCAAGTCACATGAATATCCAGTCATCTAATCAATGACCACTCCAAAACTTCCTGATGAATGAGTTACAATATCTAAATGATTATAATGTACAATACAGAATAAAGATATTTTTGATGATATAGAACATTTAAAGCCTGGTTGCCATTGTAATTTGTAGTAAGTTCACAGGGCTCCAATGCCATACAAATAAGTGAATTAAACAATGAATTAAGGTAATAAAATGGCATGAAGGTATGAGATGTAACTAGTCATAGCAAAATGTTGCAACTTCTACACAGAATGATTCCTGTAAAAACTTTGTGCATGACATATGCAAAGGGAGCAAACTTCATTGAATGATCTTTTTGATTTAAACCCTTGCTAAGCAATATTTGAAACTTGCTTGGTGCAAACTCCTACTCGTTGTAGTTTTTGCTTGTGTAAGATTCAAATGTTCAGGGCATTGGTGAAAAAGTGTTGTCTCCAGTATCCATGTGCCCTAGCTAGTGGACCATGACCATGTTGTGCCTACTAGGAAAAAGCTCCCTCTAGCAGTTGCAGTGTTGTATTCCAAACAGTTGAGTTTCAAGCAGCAGGGAGAAAATTAATCTCTTTTTTATGCTGCTGAAACTGGCTTCTCTTTTGCAATTTTTTGCCAAATTTGAAAATCTCAGCACAGGGCTTTAACGTTACCTGTTTAAAAAAAACAAAATTTACTCTGTCATTCTGGTCCCTTGAATTTTCTTCTTTTCAAAAGGTGAGGCTGTGATGGTCTTGATAGTTTTGAAGCACTATACAGTATTGCCTGTATACACTGAATCAAGAATACATAATTTCTCAGATTGTTTTAAAAGCTAAACATCATGGGAAGGTGGGTGGATTGTATTTCTAAGTAGCCTGGGTGCCATCCGAGTTGATGCTAGGACTTCTACCTACTAGTAGGGAAAGTATAGGAGCATAAACTAACCAGGATGTCATACAGCCTAATATTTGAGAACATGACAGTACCAATGACTACAGTAAACGGGACCACATTCAAACTGCCGTTAAGATTTTGCTGGTGTCAGTGAAAATCAATCTTTTACATGTTGAAGTAACGTTAGTTCAAACAGCCGCTGTATTATTCAGGCAAACAAAGCGATGTTTGTCCCTGCTGGTTATTTGAGTTCACATTCCACATCACCTTTGAAACACTTTAGTTAAGGTTGACTATTGTGTTGGTGATCTACAACAGTTATAAAACCTTATCAGGTGACTTTGGATCAGTAGTGGCATGACTCAGCAATGGCAGTGAGCCAGTAAGTCCACATGTATGCCTGAGCAACACAGAATGGTGTTGGCCTCTAGGTTAGCCTGCATGTGTTACACAATCTCCCTAAGTCTCCACCAGACTAACAATGTAGGAACCCCACTGTTACAACCCCTTTATAGGCTAAGAAGGCCTGGAGGAGACTTGGTGCTGACCTCTAGGTCAACCACTGCCTGGTAAAGAATATCTACATGGTGGCATTGAGAGGGAGATGCTGACACGTAGGTCAATGACTTACCAGTGTTGAAAACCTTTGAAAATTTAAACTGACAGTTTAGTACTGACATCTAGGTCAATGACCTACCAGACCAGTGATGAAATTTAAATAGCCTGTACTTTTTTCAAGTACCCAAAGATTATTGTAAGGATAACAATTAATAGCAGACCTTTTAAATCTAGGACCCTCTTCCAAGTGGGTATCATGATAACAGCATAAAAGTTGTTGTTCTTTTTTTAGACAAGAAGAAATGTCATGATTATCATATACACAGACTTTGTACAATATGTTTGCTTAGATTTGGCTGGAATTGGACTTTAGACCAACAGCTAATGCCAGTTTATGGTGGGCAAACAACTCAACTGACAACTATTTTATGATCATCAGCAAGAGAGAATTTTTTAAATATGCTGCTTAAGAAACTAAAGCCGTATATCTACTTGGATATTATAGATTTTGGATCCTTCCTGTGTGTTTGAAAGAGGATAACACAAATTATCTGATCTCTAAGTAACTGATGATGTTCCCTTGGTTGCTTATCTTTGGTTTGTTCAAGAAGCAATCACCATAGCAACGAAGATCAGTTTTATCTTAATTCACTTAAGTTTTAGGTGAATTTTCAATGGCCTTCTTAAGCATGTTAATTATAACAATTAATACCATCCAGGATATGTCAACAATTTTTCCACATCACTGTCTTGTCTTACTATCCCTTGGACCATTGTGGTATATAAAAAATTATAAGTGAAGTAAAACAAACTGAAGGCCAATCTTGACCCAACAGCAGTGGCAAGATATTGGACACTAGAACAAGGGGCATTTTAGAATTTACCTGGAAATTCAACAAAATTATGAGATAGCAATTAGATAGCTCTATATTTTAAAAACACCTGCAGTGTCCAATTTCTTACCACCTACATGTTTGTACATGACCCAACACTCACCACTTTCCGCAGGAGTCCATCCAGGCTCATGTTCAGCACATTCTGCTCCTCCAGACTTGACCCTGCCAGGCTGGGCTGCCAGAAGTCTGGATCACTCCTGGGACTGCTCTGACAGGTGCTCTCATCACTATGCACAGTCACAGGAGACGTGAGCCTGTTCATGGTGCACTGGGCAGCCTGGGGCTCAGGTTCACCTGGCCAGAGATCATTAGATATGCCACTAAAAAAATGGTCATTGGTGACATATTCAACCCCGTCCCAAGTTGTGGAATTTTTCTCCAATGTTGTTTTCTGATGGTTTTCATTCTGCCATTTTTCTAACCATTCTTTTTCTGTGGCAGCCTCGCTGTCAGCTACAAGTGACTCTGTGCTGCATTCCTGGACTTCTTCATGGTGTATGTTACAGCTGTATAGGCTGTTGACCATGGGCTGCCCTGCCCCACGTAACAGACTCTTGAGATGCTGGTACTGCTCCTGGTCATCTGGTGTTGACGAGGTAACTTCATCTCTCATGACCAACATGTCTTTAATGCTGACTGGTTCATCTGGCATCATAGCATTTTTCTGCCCACCTCTGACTAAGCTTGTCAAAGTTTTCAGCTGCGTTCCTTTCTGCACCTGCGATGCGCTGCTCTGTGAGGAGGGTGACAGGCCCCACTGTTTCCTGGAGTTATCATTCGCAGGCAGCCATGTCCCGTTCTGCTGGTCAGGAAAATGAGGGCAGTTCCCACTGCCTTGTAGACTTGAACAGTTGCACCCCATGTTAAAGTCCTGTCCCTGCAACCTGGTATTACACTTAGTAGTTCTCAGACATGCTTCCCTGCACTATAATAACCTAACCATTTCTGCCACCATAATATACACACTTCTCCAATAAACATTACCATTTCTTACAAATAGGTCAATATAAGTGAGATGTTAAAACCTGTTCAGTTGCCTATTGTCCTGGCATTGTGTCCTCCCCGGCCAGTGTTTCCACTAATCTGAGTGTGCTGCAAATGCAACAAATGCACGAAACAGCCCTGCCTGCGGCTCCTCCCACTTTCCACAAATAAAAGCAGTGCAAAGTCTAAAGCTCACTGCTGTTGACACTGTCTCGGTGCCACCTAGGGTCTGCCCCACCGTACACAACCTGGACACAGTCTCTCACAGACGTCACCTGACCTTACGGATGTTGAACTTTTGACCGTCAGCACGTTGGCATGCCTGGCTGAGACTGTTAGGACTAACCCTAAATAACCTACAGCAGTCGCTTTCCACTGCCTCTATGGCTAGAACTGTTGTTAGAGGAGCTTATACACCAGTATTTACACTGGTGGGAGTGGCAGAGATAAAATTATTAGAATCACAAAAGCTATCAGTCATGTTGGTAGCTAACACTGTTGCCACAGTAGCAGTGTGACCTGACATGTGATAGGGAATCTAATCTCCAAGCAGATCTTTCCCTGGCAAACTCATGACCAACTGGCAAGCCAGTGACCAATAGGGAAGGCACTAGTAAGTTGATTGGGCCAGCTGTCAGAAACTGCTACATAAATGAAGGTCACAATCTTCTCAATCAACCTCTGTTTGGAGAGTAGGGAACTCACGGCATGCATGCAAAGATTTGGGAATTTTATGCATTGTCATTTAATTGGGGGTCTGTGATACATGTATGGCTTGAGGACATTTGTGTTGTCCTTTGGTTTGTCTTACCATTAGCTTGCACTCGCTATGCCATAAATCAATGTTGTACCAACCATATGGCTTATTACGGCCCTTAGACTTCACCATTGTTAACTGTTTATCTGTAATTGTTTATTTAGTTGTACAAGCAAAACCTAAAAAAAAAGAGGCATGTAAAATTTCTTCCCTGTATGCAACATACAAAAAGTTAAAACCTGTAATTGTTATGTAGATGTTGTGTAATCCTATAGTCTGGGGCCTGACAACTAACCTATTCTGGATAGGGGCCAATAGAGTGATACATAAACATATCCAGTATACTGTTACAAGGGTAAGGAAGAGTAATCACTCATTCCAGTAGTATAAACGGGGTATTGTTTTTAATTAGCATTTTCTTACCTCCTACAATGACATATGAGAAATCATGACAAAGACATGACGAAACAATACGATTATGAATTTCAATACATACATGTATTAGATAAATATGCCTAAAAGCGTCCAAAACAAACCTAACCTCTGCTTGGAGAATAATCTTTTTCATCTGTAACAAGCTGAACAAATTCCTCTAGGCTGAGGCTCTAGCCCATGTCAAGGACACATAAGCTACGACTTTGCTTCCTAGATACAGGAACAAAGACTCTAAGAACTCTATAGAATGAGGGATGACCAAAGTAGGACTGTGTAGTCTGCTTGACATTTTAAGATAAAGGAATCAAATTCAATTACATGTACTAGTAACAAAACAAACCACAACCCACAGCAGCTTTAAGTAATACCATCTACATGTATTTCAGATCAATCTGGGTATTACAGTATTAAGTGCTGTTTATTAGTCATACTGTGGATTCGGATAATTGTTCAAGGGAACATAACATAAGTGCCATTTTGATTGTAAATGAAAGCTTGCAAGCATGAGTTTTGGAATGGAAAGATATATTAGAAGACATTTCAACATATGAAATGCTGTAGTGATCCAAACTAGGGGTTGGACATGTTATACACATAGTTGTGGTGTTCCTATCAAAATTTTAAAAAACTAAGAAAATAAACTAACTAACTAGCAAAATGGCCTGTTCATTCCTGCTGAAGCTGGACCTTGGCCACCTTCCTGAACTCTTTACTGCCTGTCTTGGGACACTGCATGTCACTCCAGCTTACAGGCACCATCTGTGCTCCTGCAATGGACAGCACACAATGTGACTTATATACAGTGCCCAACTTCATTGCATGTAACCAGGCCTGGCATGTAACCAAAAAGAGAACTCAAAGACCACATACGTACAAAAAAGTCAGTACTAAAAGGCAGATCTAAATTAGAGGGTGACGTAAATGATTTCTCACTAACAGATTTGGCTTCAGGCTGAAGTTTTAAAAGCAGAGGCATGAACACAAACAGACAAGTTGTGGGATGACTTAACATAGATGGGAGCCTTCATGCCTTCACACAGCACACATGCGGCCCATAACTTATAAGACAGGATAGCAGGACTCACCAGCCTCACTGAGAGCCAGCACCACCCCCAGCTCATTCTCAGCTGTGGACAGGAGGTAACAGTTGGCATCGCCCAGGGACAGCTGACAGGGCACGTCAAGGAAACCTTGCAGTGAAATCTTTAGCTTTTTATATATTAGTTCAAGGACATTATACACACAAATAATTGTGTGTATAATGTCCTTGATTAGTTGTAAATTGTCTAAGCTATGAATATGAATTACATATACATGTACCTTGTAATATTTCTCAAAATGAAACCATCAAGAAACTAGAGTTCGGAGGTCTCATGCCTTCGACAGTGTGATATTGTTTTGGTGGGTGTTGTGTGTGTGTATAGTGTAGGTTTTTTGTGAAGATGATTATCGTAGTGAACGAAGCAACAGACTATTCACCAAGCCTGTACCATGTCTTTCTACGGAAATACGGATCGTAGAATTCGGCAAAAAGAAGAGGAGAATTGGCCTGGGGAGTCTGGCCGCGAAAGGTTGTTTTCTTCCCTCCGATACGCGGTGATCCAAACTTCAAAACGGCAAAAACTCCTTCAACTAAATTATTCTTCTATGCAGCCAGTGTTGTTGAAGCGTGCGATGTCCAATACATTGAAGACAATTGCAAGTTACAAAATCACACAAACTGGCCAATTGTTGTGATGGTATGTGGTATGTAAGATAAATGGGTTCCTCCCGGTGAGTTGTATCTCTCTAGCGGGCTATCTGACCCTTTAGCGGCATACTATTCCCTTTATTTTGGCCGTTTTCTACTATTTTTCCAGTGATCCATGGTGCCTGGTAGAAAGTTAACCTTCCTCCACAAAGAGAAACTCATTTATCATATATGCCTTACTTGTTAGAGGGGCCGTCGTATCAAACTTTTAGCAGGAAACAGCCCGACTTTCTATTCCAGCCCGGATAGTGGTATAGATTAGCCCAGGTCCTCCGGGGACGTTCCCAGAGGTACGACTGGCAGGGCTGAGGTCAGCCTCGGGTGACCTACCTAACCGTCCCAGTCTATCCTGTCAATGCAATTTATCCTGGATAGAATTCAAATAAAATATGTATCCTAGTTGCAATTTAACAATCTTCAATTTTTGAACTAGTAGTTATTTACTGGTTATTTCTCAGGTTGGCGACGCAGTTTGGCTATGTTAGTTTTCTTGTGGGGGCCCATCGGACCATAATATGGTCGTGAAAATCTATCCTTTCAATGGCAGGGCTTCTCTATTCCCTCTCCACACGACCCATTATGAAGAAGATTACAGGCATCAAACTCAAAGTCATTCATAGCATACCGCCGTGCTCCTCGCTAAAGCCACAAAGCTTATAAAGATTAGATACTGCTCAATGCGTTCAGACCACTTCCTTCTAGTGACCTGGCCATTGTGTACAGTATACCAACTATGTTATCGATTAAAACAAAGTTTGTGACCTTATATCGGGTTTTAATCTTTAACTCCTGTTGCATTACGATACGATATGCACAAATGTACTACACAAGACTGCACAAATGTACATGCTAATGTTGTAGGTATTACGGGAAACCTATTCACATTATCCATATTCCAGATTTACCTGGGTGCCAAACTGAGATACTTTGTGTCCAGTGTGCTATGGGTCTGGCAACCAGGCTAATTCCAGATGTTCACACTGGGGGCCACAGACCTGTCAAATAAAGCACGCTCTGCTGGGGCACTGGGCCACTAATGTTTTTCAACAAACAATTTCAAAGAAAACGTTTTTTCAACTAAAACCAATGTTGACAGCTTCCTGTCTGTAACTTGTTGTTTTAACCTAGATATGAATAGGTTTCCTGTATTCCCTACAACATTAGCGTGTACATTTGTGCAGTCTTGTGTCAGGGTTCACAAATTTTACAAGAGTTATGCAGTTGCTCCAGTACATGTAACAAATATTAATAAAAAGAAAGATTGCCTTTTCTACATTGTACATTATGAATGATGTATCTATGTGTGTTTGAAGGCTGGCCGAGTCGTTAACCCAGCATTAACCCAGTATTAAAACTTTCAGTATTAATGCAGCATTAAGCGCCACTTTCGCCAATTTCGCAAGGATTCTGTTGTTTCAACAAACAGGAAAGTTTTTTCCAGCTATCCTTGTGGGCATAAAGCAATGTAATCCACAGAGGGTGGAAACCAAAAAGGTCTAGTGCAGTATGAAAGACATATAGATTTCTCTTATTAATTAATCAAATTGGGTCACAATTTACATAATTAATATCTGTCAATGTTCCTCTTCCTCTTGTTTAAATATGCCACCATTTCAATTGTTCTATCATGGAACGCAGCAGATTTATAGACTTTTGTCATTAATTATGTAAATTAGATTGTGATTTGCATAATTGTCATCTAATTAGGTCAAGCATCACTTAAGCTACCGAGATACCAAAAATAACAACAATCCGTCAACCGGTTCTTGAGCTATCCTACTTCAAACATTTTCAAACAAATGCCTCTGCATTTCCCAAATAAGCTGCTACGGGGCCCAAACTTACGGCACTTCTTTCTGAGCACGAGAGCTACCTACCATCTAAAAATCATGACCCTAGCACGTCCATATCACGAGATTTAAAAAACCAGAAGTTTCGCTGCAGTACTTTCTAATTCAATGACGTGGGGACCCCCCACGAAGCCCATATCCGAACTTGACCTTGGTATTGTCAATGGTAACTTGCCAACTAAAAACATGAACATCCATTTAAAGATTCTCGAGTTATCTTGATGACAAGAAAAACACAAGAACAAAGGTCAACTGCAGTGACATAGAAACCCCCACGGGGGCCCATCTTTGAACTTGACCTCGGCATTTTCAACGGTAACTTGCCCACTAAAAATAATGAACATCCATTTAAGGATTCTCGAGATATCTTGATGACAAGGAAAAACACCAAAAACCAAGGTCAACTACAGTGACTTAGGAACCCCCCACGAAGCCCATTTTTAGCCTTGACAATGGCCACCCCTAAATCAACCTGCCTGCCAAAAATCGTGAACCTCGGACCTTGCCTTCAAGAGTTATCGTGCCTAATCTGCCAAACAGTGCAAACCCGATTTCATAACCTTCTCCGAAGGCATAGCCTTCAGTCGAAGGCAATAATGGAATACCAATTTACTTATTCAAAAGAAGAGCATTTCGAGTACAACCAGCAGTAAAAGGTAAGAACAGGCCACAAAAGGATACAACTCTTGCAAGAACTATGTCCCCTGGTCTGAAGCATTTGTACATTTCCACCTGGAAGTAAAAATTCATGTAACAGTGAGCAGCTTATTATTGGACTGAGCAGAGCACTTTAGACTAAAAAAAAAAATAATACCTCTGGCTGTTTACAGCTTAGAGGTACATATCCAATATTTTGTCAAAAACTTATCTGTTACATAGCGGATCATAATGACTCCCAGCATGGGTCTTCACGCTTCGTTAAAAATGGAAAAATCTCAAGATTTATTCTAAAGATCTCAATATTCTAGACCAAATCTTGAGATGTCATGAGACAATCTCGAGATTTTTCATTACAATCTCAAGATCTTTCAGAAAATATTAAGATGAAAACGGAAGGTCTCAAGATCTTTCCAAGATGTTTTCAAAGCATCTTGAGATTTTTTCTGAGCATCTCGAGATGCTTTAAAAAAAATCAAGATTGTTGAAAAAAATTGTATTTGAGAGCAATTTCATGAAAACTATTTTGACTATATACAATAGCTAGCATATATGTGCACATGCAAAAACAAATTGTGATCTGCATCATGAAGTACTGCAGAATGTGACATTTCTAACTGGAAAAAAGGGTAGTGTATGGAATACCTGGCTTCTTTAGTCTGGTAATGACAGAAACAGAAACAAATTTTATGATCTCCTTTCAAGCAAGTCAGTTTTTAAATGAAGCATCATCTAATTAAAATCGACATGACCCTTACCCTGTCTTTTTCTGTAGCTCGAACGTCTTCTTTCCTGTGTGGTGAACATCAGAAAATGATGACAATCATCCAAGAGAATCAAACAGGCACAAATTAAATGTTATAGCAATAGAATGCAATGAAAGGCACAATGTTCATGTGTATATTTCAAAGGGCAATGCCCAGTCACAATGATTTGATTAGTTGGGGCTATCTTAAGTCTCAGTCTTCTTGTCTTGTCACCATTAAAGCTGTCCATCTCACCTGATGAGTCCTCTGAATGGCTCCCTTAAGGTGGTCCTCTCCACACAGGTGATGGCACACTTACACATCCGCCCACTGACACTGGTCACCTGTACAGGTAACACAGGTCTTAACAGTCACACCAACATGGGAAGACATGTTTTCAGTGAGAAGCAAAGCCCAAAACTTCCTCCTTTTTAACTGACTCTTGACTGCCTTAACACAGCAAACATGTTGAAAGAAACAAATCTCAATAAAATGAATTTCTTTTATGCGTGATAGCATGGTGCACATTTTGAATTTTCTAAGCTTTTCTTTTGTGCCCTTGGTGCCCTGCATTTTACCACAATTTGATCAAACCTGTCCAAGATGTTCAACAACTGTAAGAGGTGGAATAATCCCGTTAGTACACCACCTACCTACCAAACACACTTAGCACCACCTATCTACATTAGAGTGAACTGCAGTCTCACACACCTTTCCAGTGACGATGGAGCCTATTCTGGGAACTGCATCTTCCTTCTGTCTGATAACCTCCACAATTGGCAGCTGGAAGAGTAGGAAAGGTCACGAGATAATCAAAATGAAGGGTTGAGACAAGTTAACAAAATCTCAGGACTGCCCTTTCCACTGAAGACTTGAGCTAAGTCTGACACACTCAGAAGTTAGGAAGGATATAAATCAAACCTCTTTTCCATCTAGGTTCCTCTTGTGCATGTAGCCAGCTAGACAGGAGTAGATATATCCGTGATGTACGTACGTCCCTCGTCCTGACTCACAGTCAGCCGTGCTGACAAGACGTTCTCCTGGGGAGTAGGAAACAGGTCTGCGTGTCTGATTTGTTTTAATTTCAAAGGAGTTGGAAGTATGCATGGAAAGTGGCATGTCCATACTTACTAAATTACAGTGATTTATAAGTGTCACAAGTATCCAACTGACGCCAAAAAATGCACTGGTAGATACACTGGTATATACTCGTCTAAAAGTGAAAGTGGATAAGCCGAATAAATAATTTTAATATAAGCTGTAACGTTGCTGCCCCCCTCCTAGCCTGGGTTCCAGACCCATTGCACATTGGACACAAAATATCTCAGTAAGCAAGGGACCTAACCTCACTGAGATATTTTGTGTCCAGTGTGCTATGGGTCTGGAACCCAGGCTACCCCCCTCCCACACACACAAAACACTGCGGTGCGTTGTATCAACCAAAATGCTTTACAAAAAAGACTTCGGTTCAGGCAAGACGTTATCTATAATCCAGAGGTCTGCAGCCAAGTAAAATGACTAAACAACATAGGAAAATGACATATCATCTTGTGCAAAAGGCACATTTGCTCGCATGCTTGCTTACCTGGCACGCACACCCTGGGCGCCGCCATGTTTGTTGACAGGATTGCAAAAGCGCCCCCTAGCAGGTATATTTACTACTGCACGGTCTGGTTTGTGGAAAAGGTGAAGATAACAAAAACTGTAAATACGTGTACGTCAAAAATTCATGTGATGAATATTGTCGAAAGTATAGTCTACAATATGAACTTCAGAACTTCTCAGACTGTCCTGTGGTCACATTGATTAGTAATGTGTTACAATAACATTATAACAGTCATTGATTTAGGAAAAGCCCAGATTAGAGGAATGATCCTTGTCCTCTGACCAGTTCTCATTTGGAGAATTGTTGTTTTCCAGTCATCAAAGAATCTTAGTGGAGACCATGGTCTACCTGTCCATGTGCACAACAAAAACTCCACAAAAACTTCTCAATGAAGGTTTTATTTTTACTGCAAAATCTAACAAGCTATTAACATAACCCTGAAGAAACTACACAATTCCCCAGTAAAACTAATAATAAGACAATTAAAGAAAGGCATTTCCTATGTTTTAAAAGTCTAACAAACAGTAATGCAATAAGTACTCACATTGCGGCATCTAGATACATGTAAAAACAATCTTCAAGGAGGTCATATATAATAGGCTAAAGACTTTGTTAAAACTATTGCGGTAAAATATTGCCTTCCTTGACTTAAGACCTGTGATCAGTTGAAAAAATGAGTCTAGGCACAGCCAAGACTTCCTAAATCCCACCCCATCCCACTCAATTACAAGTCTAACCTAGACTGCATCATGATGTAATGGTCAGTATGCAAATTAACCCGGACCGTTCCATTGTCAGCATCGAGGAGGGTAGAATCACATTCAAACTTCATTGGTAGAATCTAGCAGCTTTGAATTCTATTCAAGATCATCATGTTTTCCGTCAAATTCATTCAATACTTGAAAGATAACTGAAACATGTTGGATTCAGAGGAATAGATAACTGCCAGACAGATAATGCTGATAAAAAAATTGTATCTAGTCGACAAAATTGAAACAACCAATAAAATTGCAACTTGATAAAAAAGTATTTCACCTGAACCTAAGAAAATAGATTGACTAATAGATTGACTAATGTATACAATACAAAAGTACATGAAATGCAACTATACACATATGTATATAAACTAGCAATCATTTCCTATGTCAGGTAGTATTTTAGTTACATGTTCTTTTTAAAAATAAATCTCTGGCGATCTATGTTGAACATAATGCTGTGTGAGCTTCCTGATATGATGGCATACTTCCTCAATGGAGCACTATTAGGAGTCCACACAACAGGTAAGTCTGTGGTCTCTAGTCTAGAGTTTCTACTATGTATCCCTAACTTTACACAGATCAGGAGTTCCAAATTAGCTACCGCTTCTGGTCCTTCTTCTCCACAGGGAGGGTCACTGGTATGATGTAATCTGGTTTATGTTGCGAGTACGCAGAAGCTGGATGTCCGACCACAAAGAAGTGGTTCCCATTCATAAACATTCGCCACATGGCCTTGTGGTTTCCCCGCGCATCCAGGTCCCAGACTTTCAGGCACTTTGCCAGCGCCAGCCAGTTTTGGAAGTCTGATTCCCGCGCCATCTGTATGTATAAGACGTAGCTCTGGCCCTCGGTAGCATCTGGGATCAGATTGTCCCTGCAGGGGGACATGTTGTGGTCTAGAACTTCTGCAGTGCTGATCAACTTGTTGACGTCTTCTTCGTACGGTTCACTTTTCATCCTGTCTATGTTCTTTAACTCTACATTTGGCACAGTGTTAATCAGATGTTTCTTAAAGTACATTTCTTGGAAATATGAGTTCATGTTCAGGCCTGAGCTGCCAAAGTGATATGTCCGAGAGATATCGGGAATGATGCACTCCCGTCCTTTCCTGTTCTCTGGCAGGCGCATCCACATGTCCCAGTCCCAAAGTTTTTCCGGCGTCGGCCATTTGGGTTCGAGTTCATCCTTGTAGAGAGAGCGTTTGAGGATCCAGCCTAGCCCCGGCATGGTTTCTACTCTGTACATCAGGGCAGGGTCACCACAGGAGTGTTCATAGCCCTGATCGTTCCACGCAGAAACACAGTACACAGTCGGGTCCTCCTCCAGGAGGGGTAATGTCTGGCTGAAATAGCTGAAAAAGTCGACAGAAACATCCAGGTCCTCTTCCACCACTATCACATAGTCAGCCTTGGGGTACAAGTTGAAGGATGCTGTTAAACTTGCCTTGTAATGCTGCGATATGCGGGCATTTTTCACCCCTATTGGCGTATGCTGGATCCCTCGCACACCAAACAGTTTGACAACTTCCATCGGCTCCTCGAAAAACCCGTCAACAAAGACAGTCACCATGTTTGGATTAGCGCCGTGTGCAGAGAGAAGCGACCTCAGCATGCGGTACAGATATCCCGGCCTGTTGCTGGCTATCACCGACACAGGGACGTCTGCGATCCTGTTATTGGGCAGAGGCTCCGGGTTCATCTCGATGGGAGCCGGGTCGCTGCAGCTACACAAGCTCCCGTAGCCCTCGATCTTACTGCAGAACGTACGCCGACGCCGGTTTACGTCCGTGTCTGGCCACGGACAGTCGCTCTCCTCCATGGCTGCCAGGGGGATGGAGGTCTCCAGGTACACGGGCTCCGCCCAGGTGGACAGGTCAGGTGACTTGTTGTGCTGTTCTGCAAACACCTGCCCAGTCTTCACCACAACGAACCCCCACATGTCCCGCCAGCCCAGGATGTCTGCATGTTGGCTGCCCAAGGTCTTCAGAAGGCTTCTGGCTGTGCTCTGAATGATTGAATTAATGAATAGATATAGTTTATCATTACTCACACTTTAAAATGGCAGACAATTTGGGGCGCAGTTTACAATTTGTGATAGGAAATGATAAGCAATACATACTTTTTCTGCATCAAAGGTCATTCAGATATCAAACAGGACAAGATTCTTAGTTTGAGTCTGGCATCCATAAAAAGGATGAGAAATAAAGGCATTCTAGAGATGTGACAATTGCTGAATGCTGACGTTACCTTCATCTGAAAAGTTCCCTCGTCCTTGATAGTGAAGATGAGGATCCTCCCGTCGGACACCATGTTCAGGAACAGGACCATGGCCTCGTCCTCGTGAGCTGAGTACGTGTCAAACACGCGCTGCGCCATCACGCTGCCCGTCGCCTGATGGAGGACCAGGATGTGGATCCCGCGACCCTTCTCACTGTCTTCATCTTCAAGAACTGAAAATATTGAGTCAGAGGATTGGAGCAGATCAGATTACAGCAAGAACCAAACAGCCAAGATACCTCAGTGACCATAGGAGCTCGGGATTCACAATGGAAACCAGTTATCTGAGTCTCTAACACCATGGTGACAGTTCTTAGTCTGACAATAATTGGTCCATGTTAACATGTACCCGTTGTGTATAAATCAACAGGATTAGGATATGCCCAATTCTGCTGACACAGGGGTGCTTGCCATCAAGGTTCTAGAGGCCTGACCAGTGGAAGGGCTGCTAGAAGCCTGATGTAGACTGTAGAAGCATGATGTATTCAGGACAGATTTGACCCACCGGTTGTGCCGTCCACTGCTACAGACACCTTGGTCTGGCTGGACAGCACGGCGATGTCGATCTTCCTGCCGCTGTCCTGCCCTGGTGCATGATGGTCACCAGGCCCTCCCTCCTCGTCCCTGAGGAAAATGGCATCAATTTGTTCTGTTGTTGACTTAGCTAGATTTGTTACTAATAATATTCAACAGAATTTGTATGTTACCATTGTAATTATTACATCACTTCTATTGTTATTCTTCTTATTTTGTCATTTTAAGAGTAAACCCCAGAGGAGGGTTTTTCTAGGCCTTTCTTTGTATTTGTTCTGATGTCCATTAAGCATGTGAATAAAATGGAAAAACTAAATCAACCATAAGACCTACCCAAAGGCAGTGTCTTGTGTGGTCTTCTGCCGCAGCCGTTTGGTAGTGTCCAGGATGAAGAGGATGTTGATGATGACTGTAGCCAGCAGGATGACCACTAGGATGGCCTGCAGGACACGAGTGGACACTCGAGGGCCAGACCTGTTCAAGGGAAGGGGATGCACATAATGATATCTTTATGGAACAAGCAATTGACATGATGGGTATAACCTCAAACTTTTAAAACAAAGGAAATTTTAATTTGGCATTCAACTTTATACATGCATATGTAATGTTTCTATATTTGCATTTGTTTCTTTACATAAGTTGCTGAGAACTTTCATCAATCATTTGATTCTTTACTTTAGTATGATAGAGGGCCCAAACATTATTTGTGATAAATATCAGACGTTCCCTTGCCATCTGTATACTTAAGTTTGTATATTTTAAAGCCAAGGAAACGTGAAGTTTTACACAAAGGATTGGGGAATTCTAACCATGTCAATGTTTACTTACTTCACAAATAACTCTGTCATGAACGACTAGATATGGGAACTGTACATTATAAGACGCCATATCAACAAGAAATCCAGTTATTTCATGTGACAACTGACTCCCATCTCCAGGTTGATCTCGTCATTTCAGTTTAAGCATGCTTATCTGTATCATCATGATCATACATCACTCAGTCTTTACCTGACTGACGGGCCCAGACGGAATCCCTTCGGCCTGTGTCGGGGGATGAACGGCGCCGCTCTCGGGTTAGGTTTCCACTGGTCCATCACTGCTCATGGATACAGATAAAAACTCGAGAGAAGGACCGTCCTTCAGACTCCAGCTCTCAGAACTGGGGAGGGGGGTGCACAAAGATCACGTTCACGCTGCGCGTTGTTTGAACTTCAGCCGGCGGCGTTCAGTCCAATTTTGACAGAAAAATCAAGGCTATTCAGAGATCCCTTACATGCAACCTGCATGTATGCGGCCGTCCTAAAGCTATCGACTAGTTCACGGCAAAGATAACGGTCCCATCGTGGCGAGAAATGGAATTAACGAGGTATAATTTCGGGTAATATTGACAACTGCAAATTCCTCCGTTCAAGAAACGAGAAACCGGAAGTGACCCTATTGAGAATGGGCTGAACCACTGTAATAATAGGGACCTCGTTACTGGTAAAATTGATAATTGAGACTAGAAAGAATGCATATATTATCATACAACATTGCTTTCCAGCTAATAGTAATATGGAAATGATGACTAGCTTTTAATTTTTCTATTTTTAGTTTGAATGATGAAATTATCTACAGGACTTGAAACACCCCCTTATTCTAGTAAGAAGATACCATATGTAGAGAAAATATAGCACGCTATTTGTAAAATAAAAATCACGAACTTACAGCGTCATCAAAAACAATTTAGCTCTTCTAGAAGGAGACAAAGAATCGGAAATAGAATATTTTAAGATGTTGTCGTCACATTTTAATCTTTTTTCTGTCAATGTTATCTATCTATTCTTAACTTATTGCTGCGCGTACTTCCTGTCCCCGAACTATTTTATATGTTTACTCTAAAGTGGCAAAATGGCGGAACGTCTTGATTTGGGCAAGGTGAGTTTCTGAGAAGTTTTCCTCGATTTTCTGCAAAGAGCAGTCGTCAATGAACATTTGGATTATGCAGTGATATAGACAAAAGAATTTTGAAGCTATGTAAGTTAATGTCACTGATAGATGGTGCAGTATCCTGGTACACTGTTCTTGCTACTGAGACACTCTTTGGGTTGTGATAAATTTAGTTATTTCTCCTGAACGAAAAATATCCATACTTGTGTCTGATGTGCAGATCCACCGGGCTGGAGGTTACAGTTCGGAGTTCGATGAGTATGACAGTGAACAGGATCATGATGCGGAGACGGAGAAGAAAAGGTAGAATGAGCTTCATTGTCTTAAAGTGAAGGTAAATAAGGTAGAACACAGATTGCCAACAACTGTAACGTTAGTGTAGTTTTGAGCTATTCTCTTAATTTCTACTAGATAACCCACGACTGGACACCAGGCCAGTCTTGTACAGAACTAACAGTTGTTATCCATTCTACTATCTCACCCAGGTCTATCAAAGACGACGAGTTGTACAGGAAGTCTCGGCCCAGCACGTCCAGAGAAGTCCCGTCAAAGAGAACAGTCGCTGCGATGTACGACAAGGAGGAAACCCAGAACAGGATGTACCACTTCAGGGCCATGGATGCTGTATCCTTGTCTTTGTTCTGTCTGTGTGTGTGTCTGTCTGTGTATCTGTATAGCCAGTATAACCACCGCTCGGTTTAACCAAGGACGTTCTTCGCAGGCACGCGGGGTGGCGGCAGCTAGCTATATCATAGTGATACCAAATGACTTGTCACACTCAATCCTTGCACATTTAGTTACAGGAGTTGTTTAAAGCTTTCTAGTGATGTGTGTATGTGTGTTTGTCTGTGTTTGTGTGTGTGTGTATGTGTGTCTGTCTGTGTGTGTGTGTTTGTTTGTTTGTTTGTATGTCAGTAGGTATTTGAAAACAGTAGAGTGGCAGAAAAGGAGGGGGAGATGCAGAATGGCAGATTGTTTACCTTAATTTGAATTTAGTATGGAAGACACAAGGAGCTCATCAACAACTACCTGCTGTACTATGGAGGGAAGAAAGAGGACTTCAAACGGTCAACGTAAGTGGCTGATAACCATTGATTTCTCCAGTATTACTAATGTAGTATTGATTTCCTGTGATGTTTGTAAATTGTACTTAACGCTATATTGTTCTAGATGTTTTTGAATTACGATAGTTGATATAGCACTGTTGGTTTTTCTTCTAAATTTAAACTATGTCCATCCTGGTGTCTGTTCAGTGCAAATGACAAGACAGACCTGGACATAATCCGAGAGAACCACCGCTTCCTGTGGAACGATGAAGAAGAGGAAATGGACACATGGTGAGCTGTTTGTTTTTTACACTGCAAAATCAAGACACTGATAGGTACTAGTACTAGTAGCCTTATCTATTGACCTATACTTTAAAGAGTTGGTCAAAGGTAGTTATAAAGTGTCAATGTATGGACATTCTCTAGGTGTGGTGAAATTTCAAATTCCTCCTAAAGTTTGTTCCAATGTCTCTAATTTCTATTTTGTTTATCTTACTCTTAGTTCCAGTGTTCCAGCTAGTTTCTGTGGTTGACTGTCATGTACCTGAAGTGATAGATACTGATCATTTCCTTTCTTTCAGGGAAAAAAGAATGGCAAAGAAATATTATGACAAGCTCTACAAGGAATACTGCATTGCTGACCTGAGTAGATACAAGGAGAACAAGGTGCTTACAGTGGAATTGGCAGTTTAATTTGAATTGATCATGAATAGTCCAGTTAAATCTTTTTTGTATACATTGTTGTTCATTTTTGTGCTTTAGAGATTTAGAGATTTTTGTCTTGTCCTTTAGAGATTTTTCCATGTTAAATCTTTTCAACCCCAGTTTTATGATTTTCCATTTTCCAGGTTGCACTCAGATGGAGAATAGAAAAAGAAGTAATCGAAGGAAAAGGTAAGGATATTTCCTCATGATGTAGATGATAATGACTTTTACGAACTTGGAGCTCTGTATGGCATTTTATTTAGAGAAATGTATACTATTTACATGTGATTTTTGCACCAAAAAAGGTGAACATTTTAGTCTATTCTGGACTTTCTGGCACACCTATTCATTCAATAGTACTCCATCCCTGATTGCACACTTCCCAATGAACACATTGATATTAGGCCAGTTTTCCTGTGGAAACAAAAAGTGTTCAGAGACAGAAGGTCTGAAGAGCTGGGAAGTCAACTTTGGTTACATGGAGCAAGGAGAGAAGAAAAATGCACTCATCAAGCTCAGTAAGTAAAAATTATTTGTCTTATATTTCAGTTATGACGATGATATTGTGTTAATGCCAGGCACAACATTTTCCAGTCTATTCTGAACTTAAAGAAGGTGCAGACTAGACAGATACAAGTAAATGGACATATTGACAAAAATATGCTTAATCGCTTTAAATAGTGACCCTAACCCTAACTTACAATTGCTCTCTCCCTTTTTCAGGACTGTGTCCAGACTGTTCTTATAAACTCAACTACCACCACAAGTTAGTATAAAATTTATCCTTTTTATCAGCAAAAATCTTTTCTCAGCAAAAATGTGTTTCCCATCTTGATCATGCATAATTGTTACAAATGTGATTCAGTTAGCTGTCAGTGAATGGGATTTTGTTTGATATCACATTGGTTTGACAAGTGATCATCTTGTTTTTGTGTTTTTACACCTGTTAGGTCATAAATGGTCATCTTTAAGCACATGAATATACAATATAGATCTTTTAAGTATTCAGTTAAGTATTCAATTTTTTTCATTTTGGGAAACCTAGGAGAAAAGAGGCAAAGTCTCATAAGAAGAGATCAGAAGGGAATGTGTCCAAGAGAAGGAAACATGACCAGGAGGACTCAGACAGAAGAAAAGAGGACAAAGACAAGACAGCCAGTCCTGAAGGTAGGAATACTTTACAGTAACATCTCCAATCATACGCTTATTAAAGGCAAAATGGATTTTGTAAATCTGACTGAGAAGTTAACTTAGGAAAAGTTTGTGATTGCTACAGTCAGTACAGGGTCACTAATTTTGCTATCAGTATTGTATAAAGTTATCAACATTTTACTGTAGTCATTTATTGTATTGTGTTTCAGCTGAGAAAGCATCCAGCACTACCCCTACAAACAGTCAGTCAGCTGAGGAAGTCTGGAAAGGTCCTGTACAAATTGTTGAAGAAAAATCCAGGTCAGTCATCAGTTATCTTCCTAACATTTTCAATATTTAATGTGCACCAATATTAGCTAGGTTGTAACTTGTAAATTTAGGGGATGTACCATGTACATGTGTAACCCTTCACATTTGCCCTTAATTCATGTATCCCTAATATAAGATTTTATACATGTATCTACATATGATATAGAGGTGTCCTGCCATCTGATCTGTTAAGAAATAATGTATTTTCCTTCTTATTCTAGGGAGGAAGAATTTGATGACTACTTTGAAGACATGTTCCTCTGAGAGCACATTTGGAACTGTGGGTTTGGTTAATGTAGTTTCTTTTAGAACTACCCCATACATCAATTAAGTGTCATTTTATGATATAGATTAGATTAGGTATTAACTTACCAAAGAAAGTCCAGAAATACATGTAAAACAGACCCATGAAGATTCTTTGTACATTTGGACAAAGTTGCACTTTAATACTCTCACATGTGGCAAAAATTGTATGTGAACTAAATCTGATCAATTCTATACAGTTCAAAATGTTGCTACTAGTGTCTCTTGTGATTTCCATACCAAACTTTCTTGTACATTTGCTAGGGGAAGGAAATATTGCATTTAGCTGAAATAAAGACTGATGCTTATCTACATTACCTATATTCCACAACATAAGGTACAGCTGCAGGTACCTTCCCTGACTAGATGAGGTTTTATGGTCATTTGAAAATAACTTACTACATGTACATGTACATTGAAGATGAACCACAACTCATATACCACACATGGATAGGTTTAAGCGCTTGTGACAGCACTGTTGTCAAGTCTTGCATCTGAAAGCTAAAAAAATATGATTTACACTGTAAACCCTGGTCGTGATGCCCCAATGAGGGGTTTTGACCAGTATTACATAGAAGAAACCATTTTTCTAAGAACGTGTCAAGAAGATGGGGAAGATTTTGGCAATGAAATTTCCTACAGACTGTGAAGCATGTTGATATTTTTCTGTGAATGTACATGTACATACACATGTATATATGTTACATGTAAGTACACTAATGATGTACTAGTATGTCAAAACCATTTTTGGAATCATCAAACAATAGATAGAAGTTCAGAGAAAGGCAATCCATGGCTTCAATTCACGCATGCTTTAAATACTGTGCCTGACAAATATGCTTTTAATGCCTTCAGTTTTGTATACTATTTTCAATTGTCACAAAATAGTCATTTAAAGTTAGGGGCCTTTGATTGTGTCGTTCAACTTTCATCCTTCTATATTGTATTCATTTTTGTGAGTACATGTAGTACATTATTATTCCCCACAGTTAACAAATAGAGACAGACATAAATATATAGCTCTTATTCCTCAGGAAGCTAGTACAGTTACACTGATACTATAATCTCATTTTCCAATACAATAACTCCCCTTAATATATAGTATGAATGTTCTGGTTACATCTCTTTTAGTTTTTTTTTTTTCCAACAACACATCCATGATCCCAACAGACCAGAAGAAGTGCATGAGAGGCCGGTTACCACCAGTGTTAAGCAATACCTGATCAGAGACTAGTACCCCCCAAAATTCCCCAGGAATGCACTATAATGATGTGGTCACATTCGTCATAGACTGTTGTATGATTTTTATATCTTAGGATTTTCAAGCAGGCTATGACAAAACTATCTGCTAACAAGGATCCATGACAGACTTTTACCCTGTATGTACACATGCGTCTTAGTTTGTGATTGTACAATGATCGTACAGTGAATGTGACCTGGGCCTGTTACTAGTTATAGTCCAGGTCATGGGAATAGTACTTGGTTGTCACAGATAGATAGATAGATGGTACTGTGGGTCTGACACACTTGGCCATAGAAACAGGTATGCAGTCCAGGAAATAGTTGTTGGACTTGGAGTACACAATTTTGGGAGATTTGTACTGTGATAATTATACTGGTGTTGCTTGTCACAAACAATATTGCTACATGGTAACTAGCAACTCAAAGGTGCTATCATTGATCCTTTTTCCACTTTTAACACAAGACAATGATTTTAGTTCCACAGCAGTCACAGAATAGCACAGACCCTACTGTTGTGAATATGTTCCCTGGGCACCTCCTCCAGATCTGTACAGTGCAGACTGATTCTACTGATCTTTTTACACAGCTGTTGAGGCTGGGAGGTTTTCCTCTGTCGATGTACAACGATTTCTTCATGGGCCTGTCGAGACTTCAGAGTGGCTTCCTGGACTATTTTCTGTCCTTTAGAATCTGGTGGATTGTATCTTTTCCAGCTGATCTCATTCCTTCTTTCCTCACAGAATCTTTGGATGTCAGTGTCCTGGGCCACTTTTGGATTGCTAGCTAAAGTAAGGTGTTCTAAAGGTGTTTTTTCGGAGGTAAATTCTGCAGACTTCTCCACAGTGTCTGTAGCAGAGCATTCTCTGCTTGATACAGCTAAGTTCCCAGTCAAATTGATATCAGAAGTGTGTATTTCAATTGGATTGTCTGCTGTACTTGTTTCTGAGTAGTCGTCTTCTATGCTGGATGTAGATGCTAGACGTTTTGCCGTGGACGTGGTATCAGTCTGTTCTGCGCAAAACAAAACAGAGATGTAGATGACTTGCATTGGTGACAAGTATTCATTTTCTCAAATTTTCTGTTCAATTCTTACAGCCCACTGCCCCAGTCTGCTACCTTATTACAAATGTATATTGCATTAGGGTTGCTGTAGCTTTCTAAGCAGACTCTAAGACTGGGGATTTTTGTGGGGGCTTTTATATACATGTATATTTCACATGGCACATCACTGAGGATAAGTTTAATCCATGAGAATAAGCAGACGGGTTTTCGACAGCTTGCTCATTGTTCAGGCCACGAACATTCATGATGGGCTAAGCTGTAACAGAATACTAGGGGTGTTGTCCTACTAATACAATCACAACATTGTGAGTTGGGAGAGAAAAGTCACAGATTCACCTGGTAGGACGATGGTAGCCTTCTGCTGTGCCAGAGCCTGCCAGTGGTCTCTGTTGGACCTGCACCCTTCATACAGGGGGTACAGACTGGGCCACTTCTCTGCCATCACCTGGGGAAATGGAAGACAACAGAGAAAGTTATCTCAGCTTTAAATTCAAATTAACTCAATGAACAGTTCTTTGCACTGGTCATAACAGAGAAGACAGATGTACATGTAGTATACAACATTTGTATAGGTTTGTTGTACTGGGGAAATTCCCATAGATCATTTTGACAAGTACAATAGCCAGTCGACCATACCAGTGAACCAGTGTAATACTGCCAACGACAATCCGTTGAGAGAAATGAAATTTCTACCTTGTACAGTGGCATACATATGCTGTCAATGAACCCCACTTGCATCTTTGGTAGTTCATCCTTCTTTTCCCTGTCCATGATGTCCTAACAGACAACAAAACACAAAACATGAGAGAGTCAGCACTTTTTTATGTCTGTGGTAAAATCAAGTATAAGCTAATGTAAGGTCAGAGCAAACAGAAACTTGAATAAGTGTTTGTCACAATTAAAACAAAAGATATAGACTTTAGGAAAATTGTTCTTACAATAGGCTTCTGATGTAGTTTGGTCCTCTCAATGTCTCCCTGTTGGAAAAACTCGCTGTACACCAGCTCTGCAACCTGCAATGGAGCATGGGCAAATAAACTACATTGTAATCTCATTTTTGACATACTCAATAGATAGCATCAGAAGATGTCAATATTGCTATCCATTTTGCCACAAAAAAAAACTTTTGATGACAACAACGAAAGGAATTTTGCTTGAATGTTTTCACCAGACCTTTTTCTGCACCTCCCATGGCTTACAGATGGCAGACACGTCACATGCAGTCATCATCATGGCTCTGTAGGACAAATTATACAAAGCAAAATAATTTGTGCATAAGCACACACCAATGTGCCAGTGAAATAGCCCCCTACTGTATTGATTGCTCGATGTTGTGTGGCCCATGGGCTATTGAAACAGAGATAGGTGCCACCTTATGTACCATCTGCTGCAGGAGGGACTTAATTACACAATGGATTACAAGAAGGTTTTACTCTACAAGTGGGAATACTAATATGGAAGACTTTATAACAAACCTCAAGAGACTTTTGTTGTCCTCCACAGTCCAGTCAGTGACACCACCCTGTGCCCTGCTGATGAAGGACCCCCGCTTTCTAATGGAACAGCCCGACAGTTGGTGAAGAATTCATACAGAAAAAATCAATGTTTACTTATCAAAATGTACAATGTATATGCACTTGGTAAAATCAGATAACACTGTGCCAGAACAGTAACATTACATGTTTTATGGAATTTTATTAGTCACAAAGTTTGTAAAGTACATTGGTAAATAGTTTCATCAGGTAGGTATACAAATCACTGGCTAACTTAGGCCACACCAAGTAAATCTTATGGATGACGTCCTTTGGAGACCCTAAATCTAATGCGAGAGGGCGAAAAAAAAACAAGAAGGGCCCTAAAAAACAAGATGCCTAGATTAGAAATATACTAGGAGACAACAAATGTTAGGACACAAATTGAATGAGGTGACACAGTGTAAGAAGCAAGAAGTCTTTTATTCATCATCAAAACAGGTGGAACAGCAGTTGTCGTCCTGTCCTGTTTTCACGTTACGGGTTTCATGTCAATCTGACGATTTGCGGCACTGTCGTGACTCTTTGGTCATAGTTACAGGAAGCGGAATTTCTTGTTTTTTTTCTAGGAACAGGCCAAAATCAATGCGCGCGCGGACGTCATCCATAAAATTTACTTGGTGTGGCCTTACAGAAAAAATATGGGCAAATATTTTCGAGAAAACCACTATACACCATAGACTGACTGTAAACCTAAGTCGTGAATCCCTGCCTTGTTTCCTTGTGATATTTCAATATTTCGTAAAAAGACCTTTACTATCTTCTATGTCCAAAAGTCTTACAATTCAGCCTTACAGTTGCAAAAAAGAGTTTGTACTTTATTTGACACTTAGTCAAATAAACCAGTCTGCAAAGCGGAATCAAAGCTTAAAGATAGATCAGTGTTGTGAAAAATCTCCCTTCTTAATCAGACACACAAGAAAGGTTTTAGATCGGTGCTCACTTGAAATAGAGCGCCAGATCAGTTGATAGAATGCTGTCTTCTAGGATAGAGAGGGCCTCTCTGTAGTCTTCGTCCGATAGAGACTGAAAAATGTTGTTGCCCTGGGTACACGAACAAGAAACAAATGTTTGATTGGTGGTTACCAGTGTGATGGGAAGAGCTTTAACTTTAACAACATTGGCATTGAAGTTGGTCAAAGTCAAATGCATGAAAAGATGGATATGGGATGATACCCAGTAAAAGGCAGAACAGTTTGCCAAACGAACTAAAGCCCTGATCTGTGGGTACATCGACCATGGGATTATGTCTTTGATGTACACTGACAGTTATATATAGCCTAGATTAATGCAGGAATAAAGGTCTGGAGAAATTTTGACAGAGATATTCATCCCGATCGACGAGTTAGGAAGTCTTCTAGAAGGTGAAACTGCAACTTTGGTGTGTAAAGAAATATGGTTTGGACACACCAGTTGGTGCTCAATACGGCAGCGAATATAGGATATGCTGAATGTCCAAAATGTGCTGACAATGTCTCACCTCGCTGTTCATGATCATGATGCTGTGGTCGAAGTGGTGATGTTCCATGGTGGACGTGCTGTACAGCCGAGCCAGGGGAGACTCGATTCTGCAATGAGGTTGAAAATTCGTTACCAATGTACACTGTGCAGTGGCTTGTACTTCAAAAGAGGCTACTACTGCATGTGATCTGCAAATGTTATGTGAGTACTAAGAAGGCAATGCGTCTTTGAAAGGTTTGGAAGAAATCTTTCTGATGTAATCTTGGGGGCAGGGCAATCATGAGATCTTCGGCAATGGGACCTCTACTTACTTGGACTGGAAGGCATTGTTGGTCCCCCTGTGGTCCAGGTCATGACACAGACTCGCTGTCATCATGGCGAAAGTCTCCACGTCTGAAAACATGGACGAAAACGGAGCCGTCTGGAAGGGAGAACAATTTTTCTGTCTGTTAACAAGGTCAAAAGAGACCAAAAAATAAGATTCGATTTGATTAACTGGGAAAGATCTTACTATGATAACACCAATTAATAACGACAGCAGATTTCTCACCTTCAGAATGACGAACATGGTTTGCGTGACGTTAAAGGCGTGGCGCCAGTTGTGGTACGTCACCGGCCGGTAGTTCTTCTTCACGCTCAAAACCCACCTGCACAGCACCTGTAGGACGTCAGCGGGAACAATATAGATGAACAGGAGATCCGAAGTAATGTTTTGAACTCCCATCGAACATAATGAAACATTTGCCAATGTCTCTGTTTACGTCTGTGCATTTTCCTACTGGCGCACGGCCAAAATACTCTAGGCCAACTGCTAGAATCCTATTGGCACACACTCGCACACATACACAAACGCGTGCGCGCGCACACACTCGCACGCACGCACACACACACACAGAGAGAGAGAGAGAGAGAGACAGACGGGGATGAACTTACGTCATAAGGCACGCGAAACTTATTAACGCAGTCGCATTCCAGGAAGAGGCGGACTGCGCCCTGGACCGTCTCATCCTCGCTCATGACGAAGTCATTGAAGCGGAAGTCGTACAGTCCTATCTTCGTGGCTGCAGGCAACTGTGCTGGCTGTGAAACAGTACTCTTTTGAGAGCAAAGAGGAGACTGGTGATTCGGAGGTAAATAATACATCTTCCGCGTTCCATTCTAACGGAGGTACGTAATGTTAATTATGGGTTCACCACACCACGAAGTGGTGGTGAACCCATATTGCTTTTTCTGATGTTTCTTCTCCTCCTTCTCCTCCTTCTCCTTCTTCTCCTGCCATTTTTTAAATGGATTCAGCTTCTTCATTTTAGGGCCTAAGGTCCTGAAATTTGGTATGGAGGTACAGTGGGCAAATACCCCTAGGCGTTTTTTAAATTTTTGTGATACAGGCTTTTAGAATGGTTTTATTTGAGTTTTTTGGCTGTGTTATAGCAAATGTATTACTGAGTTAGTGTGCAGTGTTACCACATTTGGGCATGAGTCATCACAATGGAATGCAGGGCATGAACCAATAGGCATGCAGCTTTCCTCTATTCTCCTTGCTGATTGGCTGTTGGAATTTAACAGGCTTAACTTAATACCTGCTCAGATCCATTCCATACTGACAGTATGTCTGTATTCAAGTGTTTTGGTAGGTATTTCAAGCTTTCCTGCTCCAGCATTGGAATGCGGGGCATGAACACTTCTTTTTTTCTTGAAAATCAACAGTTTGCATTATGCAATTAAAAATCCTAACCAATAATGTAGGGAATAGCTATCCAACTGTTGTAGTCTTAGTTGTATGTTACTTCATACTATAGTTATATCAATGTAAAGCATTGTTTTCCCTTGTGTTTCTCATTCTTTCCCTGCCATGTCGTAAAATGTGGTGAAGCC